ATTGGAAGACGCCTTCAAACTTTTGGAATGGAAAGGATCTGGCATTAACATCAACGGCGAGTACATCACACACCTCCGGTTTGCCGATGACATTGTGGTCATGGCAGAATCGCTGGAGGATCTAAGCACAATGCTCGATGACCTCTGTAGAGTTTCTCAACAGGTAGGGCTCCAAATGAACATGGACAAGACGAAAGTCATGTCGAACGCCCATGTTACGCCCTACCCGATATCAGTTGGGAGCTCTACCCTCGAAATCGAGGCCTATGTTCAGCAGTGGACGTCCTGTGGCTGATATGATGATGATGATGAAGAGTCTGACACTCCCTCCCGCCTCACCTAGGCGGAAGCAGTTATTCGATGATTTTCCCACCGAAAAAAAGTGCTGGTAATGACGAGAACATGAGATGGTTTTGTAAAGTAGAAGAATTTATAAACACTTTAAAAGGTTTAGTTATAATTTTAGGAGACATAAATTTAACTCGTCGAGTACCGGTTTTATAGACACAATTAAAGAACAATAGGTCGCGGTCACCGGTGACCGCTTGGTATTTGACAGATTAAATAGCGTATCGTTAAGTATTAAAAACTATTATTGTTACTTTTTGTCATTTTGTAGCCTGAATGAGATGAATGTTGTGAAGAATTCGCACGGAGGAATGTTAGATGTTACTTTGACTGCACGGTTGGTGCTGTAGATGGGCAACCGGCTGCCGTGCAACGTGTCACGGGTTCGATTCTCACACGGAAAAGCACTTTGTGTGATCCACAAATTGTTGTTTCGGGTCTGAGTGTCATTACGTATGTAAACTTGTATGTTTGTCAATGCACCCACGATACAGGAGAAAATTCTAAAGTCCCCACATTTGTGGTTAAAAAAAAAAAAATTGGTCAGGAGAGCATTAGCGCACCAGACATACTCGTTACTGCAACTAAGGGTATAGTACCACTAGATGCATACCATCCGGCATTTCACATTGAGGTAAGAGTCTCTCTTAGCCATTGTTCAGAATCAATTGAGCCCAGTAATTTAGACAGTCTTAGACATTAGAACTTCAGCAATTGTATTCGTTATTCTCTGAGCAGAATGTTTGGGATGAGGTTTTGGCGACTATGGACGTAGAAGAAGCGATTCCCAAAGTTTTACAGAATCATTTGCATGCCAATCTCTTTGGTTTCAGAACAGCTGGCACACCGGCAATGACAAAAGCTCGACGGATAATTTCGTTAATGCTGGCTTGTCGGGCTATCCGGCCCGCGCTTCTGCTACACGATAGGCCGTGGTAGCCGAGGTGGTCGACCATCTCACCGCATTGACAGCTATGCGGAGTAACACAGGGTGCTCCTAGACGCAAGCAGCAGCAAGCGGAAAAGTTGAGTCATTCAACATCGTGCCAATATTGAGTGACGGAAGTGCCTGAAGCCAGAGGCCTGATTCCCACTCACCTACAGCCAATAGGCGAGCTAACTCCGCAGGATTAGTGCTCGTATTAATGAGATTATTATGCACCAACCTGTAAAGCGGCTCGTCCCATTGTCTCTGGGAGGAAGGGTTGACAGGCAAGGCTGTATTGGGACATGTTATTGTACAGACGTTCATCGCGTCGGTTAGACACGGCACGTCGGGTTCAGCGTTAACACCAGCTAAAATTTTTTTGTTAACGTTCTAGTGCTGTGGACAGAAGAGATGAACGCCGGTAAACTTACACTGGAAATTTGCGGACGCCTACGCCTAGACCACTAACGAATTGGCAGAGTGGCTTGAAGCCGATCGTCCATAGATGCATTCAAAAGTGAAATTAAGGTGTCACGGATAATTTGATCCAGAATATGCGGATGCTTCCACAGAGGGGAAGCACGCAGAAAATACATAAATTTTGGGCCGATAAAACAATAACGAATTAAAGTGAATGCACAATGTAGATTAATTTTGGAAAGTCTATAGGAAATGTCACAGAAATTTTTAATTTTCTCGTTTAGGAAATCAGAGAAACTGTATTCGAAAATTGTTGAACCCAGGCCCCGTCAAATCCTTAACATGTTAAGGAGTCAGACCATCAAGTCCACCAGCAGAGCCACTGCGGAAGGAACCAACGGGCAGCTACTTGCTGGACAGTTGCGGTGAAAATATGAGTATCAGGTTCAGGAGGATCAGGAAAAGTGAGGTCAGCCCTAACAACCGCAAAATAATTGTCAGTACGTCGAAGCAGGTAAAAGTCAACGCATAGATAGATTTAAAGTATGCAGCAGACTGTCTGCCTCGTTGGCCGAGTGGTCGCAAGTGCGACTGCCGGGCAAGGGGTCTCGGGTTTGATTTCCGGGTCGGGCAAAATATTACTGGGTTTTTAAAAAATCTCAGTAGTAGCACGGAGTCTGGAATTGTGCCCGGTATATGGCAATAGACTCACCCCCTATTACATGGGACTCATAACATAAATAGTGAAAAGTGGGTGTTACATTGTACCAACAGTGGCATAATGTGCACCTCTGCCTACCCCTTCGGGGATAAAAGGCGTGATGTTATGTTATGTCGAAGCAGGTAAAAGTCAACGCACAGATAGATTTAAAGTATGCAGCAGACAGGCCACTTCTATTTCGCCTTTAAATACATTTTTAATAATCACAAACACGTCTCGATGTAAATAATACACTTTCGTGTACAAGTTTATCAATAATTCACTTTTTATTTAAATAATTTAAATAAGAAATAATTATCTAGTTGTTTTACAACCGTTGCTTGGCAACCTTTTTTTTAACTGTGCAATTAAAAACTCAATTCAATCTTTCAAATCAATTCTTACAAAATTACATACTTTCGACGATACATATTATATTGATTTGAACTGTCGTGTGACGTGACGAGTTGCGACCTTTAATTTTACTGGAACGTGTGACGACGTAGCGAGTGTAGCGACCTCCTACTGCTAAATCTAAATATGTTACATCTAATTATTATTTTCGTGTATGACAAAATAAAAAAATACGAGTCTAATATATTTTCATCAGATATCTAACTGACGGAATTAGAATTTTAATTTTTATACTCCGTCAACTAAGTACCTACCTAATTCTGTTACATATTTTTAAAGCAATGATTGCAGCTAATGGCTTGGTCCCGTTTAATAACGCCTCTTGACAAAAAGCGAGTGTAATAGGTGCATTTTAATGAAATAAAAAAACCATTAAAATTTTATTATTTTATTGAGTGCACTAACTTATAATGTTTTATTCAATCTTAATATAAAAGTCATCAATGAAATCAATATAAAAGACATAAGACATACACATTACACAAACAAGTGTATAATTATTCAATTCTTAACTAAAAGAGTTTTTTCTTATCACAAATAATATTAATAACTTTAGTTATTGAAGTAGATCGTGTATGTGTCCCTTAAAGTAGACGTCATATAAACAAACAGTTGCATGGATAAGGTCTTGTCATAACTTTTTTGCCCAGAGAATGTCTATGCAATTCTGGACGGTTCAAAAGTTATAACTATTTTATTCAATCATTTCGTGGTATCATCAATCATATGGTGATAAAAACGATGAAAAAAATATTAGGTATTCCACTGTATAAAAAAATATTATACATTTAATTATGTGCTATTGATCTGTTTCGAATAGCACTGACGTTACCAGGGCTTAAAAGTTGGATTTTGTCCTTCTCATGCACCTGTTCGATATGGTCAGTACTTTCAGAGACACCTACTTATAATAAAATTAGGTGAAACATAAACATCAGGTTACTGACGAATCTTTTTTTATCCAAAATCACATATTGGATTTTTAATAATCATCATTATATTGTTCTTGACGTTTGGGAGAACTTGAAATGGTCAAAACAATTTGGTACAATCAAATAAAAAAACGTTACCGCGCAAACCTACTTTTGGCTTAATTGTCGCAAACGTCAAGTCTAAACATCAGTTGTGTACCATTGTTTCCGAATAAATGCCTAAACGCGTAAAATGCCTATTAATGTATGCTATACAATACACTGATTTGTTATCAGTTTATGTAAACGATTTCGATAAGTTTTTATAATAACTATCGTGAGACATACTAAGTTAACTAAAATCACGGGTTACTCACTTGAATATACTGAGAAAAGCTCTTTACTCAGTATATTCACGTACCTAATATAGTGTTGTAGGTGTCGTATCATTACTATTTATTTTATTTTCACCCAAATATATTCGTCTCATCAGTATTGCGATTATCATATCGAGTCTCATCAGTATCAAATTCTTATAAACGTATGTTGGTGCTTAAACAAAAATAAATGTGTTTTCGTTTTAAAGAAAATGGTGCACAATGGTCAGATTAAGTTTAGTTAATATAACAAAGTTTATATAAAAACAATGAACATTAAAAATCATAACGATGAACATGACAAAAATATAATTATACACGATAAATGCAATAATAAAACAGAAACGAAATTTGGCTCAATATAAGTCAAGTAAGTAAAATCCAGTCTGACTTGCGACCGTTCACTGAAGAGGCACTTGGTTAAATAGATATATTTTTAAATGTTAGCTACCTATTCGTATTTCTATTCGTACCGTACCGCGCAGAGACTTACAGTAGACTTAATAACAATAACAATTAATGTTATAACAAGACAATCACATTTAACAATAATCAATTCAATTGATAATAATGAATTACCCTAAACAGGTATATATAATACTTTATCAGAATAACAATGTGTTATGGATCGAGCCCTTAACACTTTCCCCGCATGGTGCACGTTACAGATCAACGGAATCTATTGCATTGCTCACTGAATCACCCGGAAACACTCAAATTTATCAAAGTTTTTAATTTCTTACCAAATCGGTTTATAAATTAGAAAATGTTATTACATCATTCAGACGAGTGGTGTGACTTTTTACTTTTTGTATCTTTTTTATGTGTAACCTATAATAGTTAACGTATCGGAAATCCGATACCTTACACGTTGTAGTCCTATAGCTGGTCAACTAATACCTCTAGGCCTTTTTGTCAGCATTAGGTGACGGCGGGATGTTTTCGAGTTCATCTTCACATTTACCATGACGCATTCTGAGCATCTTAGCCTCATCGGCGCACTTAGTAGTAATGGTGGCCCTGCAAATAAAATTAACGGTTAATTCGTCTTTTAAAGTATTTAACTATAGTTAAAACAATTATTGTATTTTTCGGCTTACTCACGTAATTATTTGACGAGGAACTCGACTAGTTTCAAGCCGTGATAGAGGCTCATATTTATGAGCAGCATTCCGCGACCCGCGACGCGGCGAATATCGTCAACAGTTTACGTGGTAAGCCGAAATACTACACTTATATATAAAACTATTAATTTGGTATGTGTATGGTATATGTATGATAATCCTTTTATCAAGGAAGGCTAGAGGCTATTTACTTTCATGCTGCAAACAACAAGAGCCAAGGAAAGCGGATAAAACCACGACGATTAGCTATACGACGAGACGCGGCGTTGTCGCTCTGCTACTTACTACGAGTTCCTCGTGAAATAATTACAAGAGTAAGCCGAAAAACATAATAAATAATTTAGTTTGTTTCACGAAAATTATATTTAAATATTTCTAATACTATTGGAGAAAGAACACTAGATCTAGCCATCAACTTACCGAACTAAACTTTCTGCTACGCCAAATTTATCCGTAATCTCGCTAATCACATCAGAAACTGCTTGTGGATCCAGGGACATTTTGGCTGGCTTGTGAAGGAAGGCTGGCGACTTTTTTCCAGTCAAAGAGTGTGTAGCCAAGATTCTGTGGAATTAAATAGTAGTGTTTCTTTGTTTAAGATTTATACGATTGCATATAAGGAGGACAGGAATGCTAACAGCATTCTCTGTCAGTCATCATTTGGGTAGTGCAGAAATGTATATGTAGTAGGTGGTAAGATGCAAAAAGGTTATGCGAGGTAGTGCTAACTATCCAAATTATTATAAGATCATCAAAAGCATAAACGAAATATGTACATGATAATAAACATAACTCTTTAGTATTCTATTCAACGTATCAGACTTCAATATAATTTGAATAAAAATAGAAATTCAAAATGCAACATCCAACTAATATGTATATATTTACGTTCTAATTCCAATTTTCCACAACACAGATATGATATATGTAGTTTGCATTACTTACCGTCTTGAGAACACTGCAAGAAGCAAAGACCTTGTGGCAATCGTGTAGGACTTCCATTTGACATTTTTAAACTTGTCCTTATGCACCAATGTTTTTCCGGTGCCAATGCCGATCTGAAAATAATATTGTTATCATTCTAATGTAAACCTTTAGATAAAAATGTAGCATTGTTCAAAAGTATTGAGCACCTCTTCACAATATGTTATTCACTGATTTAACATAGCCGTTCCTGTTTCTATTGTTTCTCATTAGGTAGTCGGCATTACTAAAGAGTACAAAACACCTTTTTTAACTTTATCGTAAGTCATAAAACACCTTGGCGTACAAATAATACGAATTGTAATTTTTACAAAAATTTGCCAGTGCACAACTCGGGCTTGTTTTGGACATAGGTCATTTCTCTTTTACTAAAGTTGATTATTATATAAATATTAAGTCATTCGCAACCCAAATGCCCCAAAAATTGTGAAATTAGTATGCAGCAGCATGTCGAAATTTCGATTCCCACTAAGCAAGGGAAATTTCAAGTCAAAATCACAAAAATTGTGCAATGCTCGCGACGAGCGGTGCAGTACCCGATTAAGTAATTAGAAGAGAATAGAACCCTTCCTAATAGCCCAAAAACCGGACGAAAACGCATCACCACTGAAAGGGAAGATAGAAAATTGATTCTAGAGTCGCTCAAAAACCGTAACCACACTTTATTTGTGCTGGCTGCTGACTTATCTGAACGAATGAATACAAAAATTGCTGCACCAACCGTGAGAAGAAGACTTGTAGAAGCTGGTTTAAAAGGCTGCATGGCTAGGAAAAAGCCCTTGCAGTCACAAAAAAACACAATAGCTCGGTATGAGTGCACAAAAAGTATTCAACATTTTACGGCTGCAGATTGGTCAAATATCCTGTGGTCTGACGAATATAAATTTGAGGTAAGATTATGCAAATGATTTAATTCTATAAAATTAATAGAACTTTTTGCGGTATTTGAATAAATAAATAAAATGGTAATTGAAAAAATATTATTTTTATGATTGTTTTACAGGTGTTTGTTATCCCCCCTTGCTTCCTACGTAAGAAGGCGTACGGCGGCGGCTTTCTACCCAGATTACTTAGTACTAACAGTCAAACACGTAGGAGGCAGTATAATGATTTGGGTCTACGTGGAAGCCTCTGGCGTGGTAGAAATGTTTCTTTGGGAACACAAACTTGGATGGAGTTAAATTCCAATAAGATAACGCACCTTGTCACAAATCCGCGCGCACAATGAAGTGGTTTGAATAAAATTCACACATCCCGCAAGAATGTAACAAAATACCTGCTGATGAGTGCAAGAAATTAGTTAGTTCTATGTCAAAACGAACCGCCACTGTCGTAAAAACGAAGGGTGACTCGACGAAATATTGATTATTTGTTATAAAATAAACATATATTTTCATATGAGTCAATTTAATTTTAATTTTTCCGGAAAAAGTTAAGTCTTCGTCTTATGTAGGGGGTGGGTGCTCAATACTTTTGAACAAGGCTGTATTATTGGAAATCTTCGGAATTTTGTATTTCTATTGGCTTGTATTCGTAAGTAATAATAAAAAGTAAACGTCTTTTTCGACCTACGTTCTTATTGCCATTGCCCTCAATTCAATGAAAGTCTTAGTTTCGCCTTATAAAGTTTTCTAATAAGCTGTTTTGTTCATTTTTGATAACAGTAACGTGTTCCAATAGGTATTTTACATTTAAGGTACATGCTAGTTGGAACACTAACACAGTCACAGTTTACTGTGTATTCACAAAAGCATTGATTAGTTAGCGATTTAGAATTATGATGTGGGCGCAATTATTTCACTTTAACCTGAAGTAAAATGTCATTAATATAATATATGCATGCAAACTGTACTTTTCAATTAAAAACCTTTTTAATGGAAAGATAAATAATAGGTACTAAAGTATTATTATTTAACTTCCCATTTTCGGGAATACGGTATATATTCATTTATCAAAGGAACTATAACAAAATATAACATTACCCATTCTTTATCTGGTTTGTCTGTTGGTTCTAAGGTGGTATTGATATTTTCATTTTCCTCATTGGCTTTAAATTCGGGAATTGCTAGAGTTTGCTTAATTTCGTCTAAGATCCTCTTCATACTTTCCTGTATAGTTTGATTTTTATCCGTTTTTATTCTACGAATTTCTTTATTGAGAAATTTTCTGAACTTTCTGAATTTTCTGAACTTGTTATTGATGAGGACCTCGTCATCTGATCGTTTAAACACATCCTCATGATCTTCCTCCATGGGTTCCACGGGGCGGCTGGGGCCAGCTTGAGCCTCATCTAGAAAGCCGTTCATATGTTTTCGCTGTTGTTTCCTATTATCAGCACGTGCATCCGGTGACTCCGATGACTTCGACGACTCAGATATCTTCAGCGACTCATGCCATTGTGGCGCCTCGGGTGACTCCTCCAGCCGCCGAGCCTTCGGCGACATACTCTTTCTGCGTTCTACGACCGAATTCATTATGCACTCAAACCTCGTTAGCATATTTTCAGTACGGTAAAGATAATCATCCTTTTTAATTAATCGAATTTTCTGATTATTTCTCTCAGCTCTGATGTTTCTTGCCAAAGCCGGTAAAGATCTGTCTGTACGTCTCTTGTTAATTCTGCCATCCTGGGATTTTACGTTCTTTCTGCGTAAAGTCTTTAATGATGACTCAGAACGCGATTTAATTGGAGTGGACTTGTGCTTTGGAGTCACTAGGTTCTCCATTGAAAGTCGGTTTAATGGTCGACGTTTCTTGTCAATAACTTTGTGCTTTCTGATTTCTTGAATGTCCTGCAATAGTTAAATAACAATGGTAACATTTTTACGGATTACGGATATTTTTGGGACAGTAATTGAATATAACATCACACCTTTTTACTTTTTACGTAACATTATTTCAGTTATTAGATAAAATTAGTATATTGGAATATAGGTATACATACTACACAAATTTAATTGATATATACTATACCTAAGAACGTACTAACGAGCATTTTGATTTCAAAACCGGACAAAAGTGACATTTACAAATTTCAGTAAATACCATTTAAGTTGTCATTATACTTCACAAATGTAATTGATATATACTACACCTAACAACGGCACGACCATACAAAGATACAGGAATACAGCTAGTTTAGACGATGTTATTTGTAAAGATTTGTGCAGATCTAACAAATTATACCTCGTTTTTATAGTAACTATCGTGAGACATACTAAATTAAGTACAAACGAGGGTTACTCACGTGAATATACTGAGAAAAGCTCTACTAGTGAGCAGCGCAATGATCTCATGAGGAAGAACCCCTCTGTGGTTCGAAACTAGTAGAGCTTTTCTCAGTAAGTATATTCACGTGAGTAACCCGCGTTTTTACTTAAATTATACCTTGTAGGTACATCTGTTCTTGTGTATATGGAAATAATATTTCTTCAACCAAACTTGTTCAAGCAAGCATTTATATATTTTTTATAATTAGTAAAGGTGAACGAACCTCATCGGAGTCTGCCGACGACGTAGTTTCATCGTCACTTGGCTCCCAAGACGAAGCACTCGGGGAATAATCCCTATGGATCTCTTCCATCTTCCTGCTCCAGCTAGGATCTGCTACAGGTGATTTCGATCGTTTCTTCATCAGAGTTTCCAGCATCTCACGATCATCTGCAAGAAAGCGTTGTTGTACTGGTTGCTTGTAGTGAACCGATTTTGTTGCGGTTTTCAGAAAAGTATTTGTTATACTGAGGAGAAGGTTAACTGACTTTAAATAAGAGGGGGTTGAAGTCGGATTTTTTAAACGTAGTTTATAAAAGAATGATTTAATTTAATGATTTTTTTTTAGGTCAATGGTAAATGGTGTTTTTTTTTTTAATAATACATTGTGTATCATCGACCAATTTGATAACTGATCCACAACGAAATTGTCTTACAGACTATGCGATAGCAAAAGGCAAATCATTGTGGTGAAAGTAGGAAAACTATGTTACGTTATTCGATTTGAAGGTGGAATCACGAGGTGAAGGCGAATTACTTACCTAAGTAGTTTTCCGAACGTCATTTTTATATTCAAAGTCATTATTTTTTTAATTAGGTATGTAATTACGGCCAGTCATGATTACCTAAAGACGTCATTGGTTATAGGTAAATCTAATTAATCAATTATGAAATACATATATTTAAAAAATAGTGTACTTTGTTTTATATTTGTTCATATCGTAGACTGTAGTGGCTAAAATTAAAACATCGGTAGCTGGGCAACGTACCGCGGCGCGCGCGGGATTGATTCCAGCCTGGAACATTTTTTTGTGTGACACACAAATTGTTGTTGCGGGTTTTTGTAAACTACCTAAGTACCTACGACAAAGGATAAAATCCTAGCAATGATATTCAATAAGAAAGAAGAGTGACAGTTATCTATTGTTCAATGTGCAATTTCGACTAGCCAATCAGAAGCCTTGGAATTTTGACGATACAAAAATGGCGGATCTTGTTAGAATTACATACCGAACTATTATAACCGATTGGGTCAACTCAAGAGTAAGATTTAGGTATCAAATTGATTGCTTCCCAATCTGATTACGCCTAAATAAAATACCATTAGATATGTATGTTCGTAAATTGGTCTTAAAATACACATGAATAGACACACGGAGAGACAATACATAGCAATTCTATAGAGTACCATAAACCGATTGTCAAGTAATTCTTTAAAGCTTTTGTTCTTGAAACAAAGTCAAATAGATAACATCCTAAAATCTGGGTATCGGTCCCTTCGTGCAAACTTATTGATATATTCTGTTACCTACGCTTTGTCTATTGTTAATACTATAACTATAATATTGGAACATAGGTACAACATGAATTCTGCTTTAAGGATACACAAATAAGACCGAGTTTGACAATTATGCTCTCCATAGACCTTTTCAGTTAAATACGGTCGATGGATACGCTTTCGGACGGATGGGTCGTACTTAAACAATTAGTTCTTTTTTTCCTGTTAATCCTTTTGTCTAAAATAAAAATACCACGTTTTACAGGTAAATTTTCAAGTGAAGGGAAGAGATATTATCTAAAAAATTTCTAAACCAGCTCTTGCCATCGGCTTCGCCCGCGTTACCATGATGAAAATTCCAATAGATAATTCCAGACTGTATAATCTATATCTGAACAAAATCACATCCAAACCCATCCATTAGTTTTTCGTGTAAGGGTACCAAACATTATAGGTACATCCATCTTCACAAATTTTCGCATTTAGGTATATTTTTTATAATTACATATATTTAGGTATACCATTGTTGTGAAATATGTTTATGTATCTCACATAATGTACCGTTAAAGTTTAGCATGATACTTTACAATTAGACAATTAGGTACTTACGTGAAAGCGCAACCACAAGTGCCGTATTCTCCGTCCCAGCCCAGTGCAGGTTTACATATCTTCCGACCTCCACCTTCCTCGAAGGGCACAAAATAGATCGCATGTGGACTATATCAAGTTTTTTAGTTGGCCATTGCACGAGGACCCACTTTATGATATTTCTCGAAGAATCTCCAGATGTTGAACTAATCATCTTCGAATTCCCACACCGAATTGTTATGTATCCGAAGTCCAGTCCAGTCACTCCGAAGTGTGGCACACTACTGAACGACAAGCCATACGTAACTCAGTTAAAAGTTCCATTGCACCCTTACTGCGCAGTTATTGCTACCCCCGCCCGCCGGACACAACAATAGATTTCGCCATCGGCTCGAGTTCGGGTACCCACAAAAAGCATCCTTTTTTGCAACATACCACCTTCCTTGTCATTTACTCTGTTGGCGACTTATATAATTTTGTGTTCCAACCCGCATTTGTTTAAAATAATTTGTTCGAAATACTTATTGGGCTGCATTACTATTTGTTTGTTTGTAATTTGATTGTAGTAGGTACCTATGTATGTACCTCTAGTATATATTAATTATAATATTAATTATAATCTGTTTCTCTGTCCATCGACTTGGTGAAACTTAATTACAGTACCTACACTTTATCATTAATTGGTACCTATTTAGTTCTATAGATACTAGTATAACGACGAGACTTCGTTCGTGTGGTTCTTATGTATCGTTCGTATATATAACCTAAGTACCAACTTAGGTACCTATAAAACCTATGTTCTTCAACTATCTTATTTCTAAATTCAACTATATTTGCGCACACGATTGTGAATCCCTGAATTGATACTTACCAATTGATACATAAGGAGTAGGTAATATGAATATCAATGTATAAAAACTAGCTGTTCCCCGCGACTAATAATGACCACGTATAATAATGACTTCTGGCAAATTTTGTAGTGTTTAATTAGTCTTTTCCAAGGTTAATTCCATTGGTATAGAACAAATCTCATCAACATCGTTTCAGTTGTATTTATTGTTAAATGTTATTAATTTTAATGATTTAAAAAAAAAATAAATTTACCTATTTTTACCTATTTTTTAAAAAAATAGGTAAACAATCCCACAGGTATTTTACCTGTATAGTATCCATTCCCGTGAGGTTTCAGTGATTAAAACTCCATTTGAATTCCAATCAAATAGGTAAAGTAGTTGAAAACTATCAGGCGTCAATACCTGCAGAGAACTTAACTAGGATATTCTTCGGTCTCTTATCAGCCTGCTGGGTATGTTGAACTTTCTTCACCGATACTATATCTGTCCGTGATGTAGGGAAGTTAATAACGATTACCGATCGATTCCAGCATCTGATATAGGTAACTTTTCGCCGCGTTTTTCTGGAACGTTGCAGATTTCAAAGTTACAACTCCTCGCTTGCTGCTCTAAACTGTCGATTTTGTGTTGAAGACTGCCAAATAATGCCTGCGATTGATCCGAGCAGTTACGGGCAATGTTGTCGATACGCTCCTTAAGATCTTTGTTCATCATCAGCCTGAAATTGCACGGAAGTAGTCTAGTCTGTAACAAACTGATTGACATTATCAACGCGTGCCTTTAAAATTCTCCTGTTCCGTGCGAAGAATATTCATGTTCTGTTTGATTTCTGACAGAGCACCCTTGATATCGTCCCTGAATTTGATTATGGTTATATCTCCATCTTTTCGCGCCAACCGCGCAAGGTGCCTTTAATGCCATCAGCGAATGATAGCATAGTGCGATCTGCATCCGTACGCCATTCCTTCAGGATGTTGTTAAGTTCTGAGGAGAATGTATCCAGGTCGTCGACGGCAAGCGCAGTGCGCGTATCGTTGCCCGAGACAACAGTAGCAGTGAATGCAGCTTGATAACGAGATCGGTGACAAAGTTGTCACAAGACATTGTGTCCTCGCTGTTCGCAGATATATACACAGAGTGTGGTCGAATTGGAGGGACCCCGTCGGATAATATTATTACAGGGGAACACATCCAGTGAGACTTTTGGTCACAAGTAAAACCCGCAAATTTATGTTGCGAGATATTAAGGTACTCGCAATGGTAAGTACATTCCGTCACAGATACGGCATGAGAGTGACAGTGCCGAGGGCGCCACAATCTCGTTGCAGTGATTACACTTGGAATTCATCTGAGCGGCTTTTGTGAAATGTCAATATTATGATGGAAATAATTTTTGTTATGGTTTGACTAATGCCACCTAGTATTTTGTGTCGGTACCAGTTGATGGATTTATTCAAAACGCCTCTGGGTGATTCACACAAGCTGAGATAGATGTCGCTGTGTGATAATGCCACCTGGTGTCCCGCATCGGTACCAGTTAATTGATTATCCACAAAGCCTCTGCGTGATTCAAACCATCTAAAATAGATGTTGCTTTTAGCAATTAAAAATCTTAAATAAAAAATCTTAAAAAATGAAACCAGGTAAATATTATTCAGCGAGTAAGTTCTTAGGGAAAGTCATTAGAAACGCTACTGAAACCAATATTGCACTCAAGACGATGCACTTTGTTTATAAGTTTAATATTTTGTTGGACCTCGTGCACGGTTTTTTATAAATTATTTACTGATTCTAATTAGTCTCTTTGCACAATCTATATATTCATATACACAATGTCTTTTCACTTTGAACTTTTAATTTGAAGTTTAACATTAGCTAGTGCCATGTGTGTCGGTATCGGTTTCTTTGAGTACTTTGTTTCTTTGCAATTTTAATGAGTACGTTTACGCTTTGCTCATGGATGTTTACTCGTAAAATATGTAATGTATCTAAAATCTTTGTCACTTATTATATTAACATAATTGTCATACTGAATGGGTTTATAAATTTATAACATAAAACTGCGAATGTGAGTACCAATACAAACCAGCTGTGGTTTAATGGTGCAAAAAAAAAATTAAACTGTACTGAAATGTAATAATAAATAAAATAAAAAAAATATTACTGCCTCGTTGGCCGAGTGGTCGTAAGTGCGACTGCCGGGCAAGGGGTCTCGGGTTCGATTCCCGGGTCGGGCAAAGTATTACTGGGTTTTTAAATATTCTCAGTAGTAGCACGGAGTCTGGAATTGTGCCCGGTATATGGCAATAGGCTCACCCCCTATTACATGGGACTCATAACATAAATAGTGAAAAGTGGGTGTTACATTGTACAGTGGTATAATGTGCACCTCTGCCTACCCCTTCGGGGATAAAAGGCGTGATGTTATGTTATGTTATGTAAAAAAAATATTAGTAAAGAAAAAAAAAAATTCGTGCTCTAGACGAAACATTCAATTATACTTATTTTTAATTATTTTTATTTGATTTCAAACTTGTAAGCACCATGGAAATGCACCTAAGGACAGTCCCCGGTTAGTGTAGAACTATTGTCGATAATAGAAAAAAAGATAGGGCCATGGATGGGTTGCTGTGGACTGGTAAAATGGTAACTATGGATGACTATGGCACCTGCCGAAACAGGCAGGCTATTATTTTAACGGGTTACCTGGGCTCCGGTTCGAAGTGCAGGAGTTCAAAAACGGGGTGGTTTTTATTTAGTAACAATCTGACACTCCTTCTATCCTCACCCGGTTGGGAAAAGTCATTGAATGATTTTCCCCCTCAAAAAAAGGTAAAAAGTAGCCTATGTGTTAGTTTCGACCGTTTGAACGTTACTGAGTAACACACAAACTCACAAATTTTCACGTTTGTTTAAGTTAATTTTGACCATCGGCCCTACAGTTACAGCGTAATGTCCATTGTGGTTACGGGTAACCTAACATTTAACAAACTTATATTTGCATTTGGTACAGTAATCGTGTCTAGGGATCGAGCAGCATCATTATATTAACTAGTTTTTAAACGTATATACTTTTTAAGAATAAAAAGTAGGTACCCAGTGCGATGCCCACAATCTTCTTCTTCTTCTTCTTCTTCTATCTTCTTCTTTTATATATTTAATAAAATATAAAAATAATAATAATAAATATATATTTCTATATAATATATATATAATTCAAAGGTGATTGACTGACTGACATAGTGATCTATCAACGCACAGCCCAAACCGCTGGACAGATTGGGCTAAAATTTGGCATACAGATAGATGTTATGACGTAGACATCCGCTAAGAAAGGATTTTGATAATTTCCACCCCCAAGGGGGTAAAAAAGGGGATGAAAGTTTGTATGAAACTTTGTCAGTTTTTAACTGATCCGGTTGAAATTTGGCATGCAGATAGATGTTATGACATAAGCATCCGCTGTGAAAGGATTTTGATCATTTCCACCCCTAAGGGGGTAAAATAGGGGGTGAAAGTTTATATGAAGCTTTGTCAGTTTTACACCGATGCAGATGAAATTCGGCATGCAGGTAGATGTTATGACGTAGGCATCCCCAAGTAAGGATTTTGATTATTTCCACCTCCAATGGGGTAATGTAGGGGATGAACGTTTGTATGAAGTTTTGTCAGTTTTACACAGATCGGGTTGAAAATAGGCGTGCAGATGGATATTATGACGTAAACGTCTCTTTAGAAAGGTTTTTGAACATTCTCACCCCAAAGTATGATACTTTGCCAGTTTTAAATTGATCGGGCTGAGACTTTGCATGCATAAAGTTACTATGACATAGGTATCTCCTAAGAAAGGATTTTGATAAATTCTACCCCTAAGGGGATAAAATAGGGACTGAGAGTTTGTATAAATCTACTTAGCCATTGAATTTAGAATCATTGAATCTTTTTGAATTACATTCGGTAAAACGATGATTTGGGACCTGGTTAACGTTTGATAGTTTTTATCACAGATGTCCCACGGGAACGGGAACTATGCGTCAATGCCCCAGGACTCTCTAACTCTTAACCACTGAACTTATTTTAGAGAGATTCGGTACAACAATAGTCGATAAAATAGTTTTTATTACTCAAACCTTACGTGATCGGGCACTGTACTGGTAAGATCTCTGCGGAATTATTTATTTATTGAAACTAAGATAAATCATTTTAAAATAGGTAAATCTTACTTGGGCACTAAATTGATTTTGATTAATTCTGTCAAAAGTCATTAATCTACGCGGACGAAGTCGCGGGCAACAGCTAGTATTAAAATATACTTAGTCATACCAAGTTTCATCGTAATAGGACCGTTAGTTTGTGTGGGATGCGTGAACAGATACATACTGTGTGATACAGACAGACAGACAGACAAAAAATGTTAATCACATTTTTGGGTTCGGTTTCTATCTAGTAACACCCCCTACTATTTCTTTTTTTAAATATTTCTAATGTACAGAATTTACACTTCAACAGTTTTACTATACAAGGTGTTGTTTTAAAGCCGCGTTATTTTATTGATTTTGAGTCCGAATCAATAAAAAAAATTATAGGTAAATATTTTTCATTTTTCTGTAAATTACGGAAATCCGGAAGTGCGAACTACACGCCGCCATCTTGTAACTAGCTTTATAAGGCGGCTTAGAACACAGAAACTCAAACACGTAATTATCAATTACGTGTTAAAAACTCAAACTCAAACACGTAATTATCAATTACGTGTTTGAGTTATCAATTATCAATTACGTGTTTGAGTTATTCCTAATTCCATAAAACTCCAATAAGAAACATAATTGCTGTCGCTTATTCTGAAATACTGTCGAACTTAAACGATTTATTATAGCCGTATTTTTAACTATCGGTCCAAAATTTTCTATTACATTGAACATTTATGACTTCTGTGATATGCCCCCGAGAAATGTCACGGTTTCAAAACTACAGCTTGTATATATACCGTGAAACCTAAACTTACTTTGCGACGAAAACACTCGTCCCAAAGTAAAATGTAACTAGACAAAAATATAAGTCATAACAAGGAAAATGAAATTGTAAAAGAAAACTTTTTTTGCTCTTATATTTTATTCCCTTAACTAATTAATACTAAAGTTAAAAGTAACTTAAATATGTTAACAAACTGATATTAAGCTTACCTATTTTCTTTTTCTTTCATTTTATATATTTTGTACTTATTTTTTTTCAATATATGTTTTTTTTTATATTATATTTTTAAATTATTTTTTTATATAATTTTTTAATATACTTATTCCCTTTAATCCATAAACTAAAGGTATGAACAATTTCCTTGGACCAGAAACGCCTGTGTAGTGTTTTACTACACACTAGAGAAATGTTTCGTACATCTGCCTACGTTATTAATAGGCTCAATTTTATTTACACCGCGTCGGAATATAATGGAAACGACGAAACTGTACATAGCATAATGAACATTACACCTATTAACTTAAGAACACACAAACTAGGAAATTCTCGAGAATGCGCGAGGATTTGGCGGCATTCTGAGGGAGACGCGCGTTCAATTTTGGCTCGTATTTATAGTAAAGTAAGTGGATATAAAGTTCATTATGCTATGTTCAGTTTCATTGCAAAACTCGCTTCCATTTCATTCCATGGTGGTGCAAATTAGAGCCTTAGCCTTCTACAGGCTCCGGTACATTCTCCAAGGTTTCTTCTTGTTCTGGTTGTACTTCGTCTGGATGTTGTTCTTCATGTTGTTGGTTTCGGTTTGCTCTCCCGGCGAGTGCACGCATTCTCTGCATCTTGCACTCGTCGGCGCATTTCGTCGTAATAACAGCTCTACAAATAAAATAAAACAAAATTAGCTTGAAACAAAGGTAAGTGTGTAGGCAGTAATGCGCGCGACTGCGGTACGCGCTAATCGGCCAGCGGCCCGCGCGCTGTCCGGACCGACACTACGGCGTGTGGTGGCCGCGGGACTATCCCTCCCCGCGCCTCGACAACAGATTCCACATCACGCACTTGCAGAAGACACCCGCCCGGACAGACACAGAAAAATACAAAAAGAAGAACTTCCCGATGAAAAGGAAAGCACTAGCAGCACCAACGAACAGGCTGTGGTTTCCGTTACTGAACCACAGACCTCGCAAGGTGATAAGCCAGAGAGTCCAAATACACAAGACAAAATCGTGGCTGTAGGCAGCTACCGTCCACCAGCGCAGCCGCACTAGACAATGGATTGTGGGGTGCGGTGCCAGAAGACCTCCCCGTGGTGCACCCTGGGTGCGGGCGACAGTCTCCCTAGCGGGGGTGATAGGGTTGGAGTGACTGTCGCCCGCAGCAGACTTCTGGACTGGGCGGGCGAACCCGATAGGGTTCTGGAGGCGGCGGGCTGTGTGCTCATGGCCCGCGCTTCCGAGGGGCGTTTCTCCGCCCGTCTCTCTGAATAGCAGAGAGCGTGGCGGAGGCAAGGCGGTGCTCGTTGTGCACTCACCCTGCCAGCGAGCAGCATCGGGACACAAGCTGTCCCCGATTGCAGCCGTCGATATCGTAATCCGTAAGGAGGTCACGGTCATGTTTTGTGACTCTGAACGGGACGAGGGTCTTGGCTTGGTCGCCCGGGCCGCGAGGAAGATAACCTCTATAAAAAATTCCTCTAATACTAAGTTCTGGTGCGCGGCGAGAGTATGCATGGCTGAGGAGTAGTGTCAGTCGCGAGCGCACCCCCAGCTAGGGGACCAGTGGAACCTCTAGTTGGGAAACAAATTAACACTTACCCAGGTACAGGGGGCACTGCCTGGGTGGACCGAATATTTCCCCCATACTCGTGGGAACTTTATGGAGAAAGTCAAAAAAAACAAAAACCACATTGGAGGAGGAGAGTGCGGGTGAGCTTGGCTCGCCTGCAGTAGCAGGAGAAGGGAGCCCAAGTGGCTCCGGGACTCGTGGTGAGGCGCTGGACTCGTCCAGCAGGCCCCACACACGGGAGTCTAGTCGGAGGGGGTCGGACTCAGAGTCCGACACAACATTGGCGGAGCGGCTGAGCGTGAGCTCGAAAGGCTCACGCCGCCGCGCGACGGGGACGTTCAAACGCCCCAGGCTGGAGGAGGACAGTTTGTCCCCGTCCTCCGGCGCTCAGGAGGCGCCTCCCCCCAAGGTCCCCACGGCAGCGCGGGGTAGGGGCGGCAAGGGCAGCGGTCGCCGGAAACCGGCACCAGCTGCCTGCGCGGAGTCAGCCGAGCAGCTGGCCGCGGAGGGCAGGGCTCTCTCAAGCGCTGCCCGTTCGGAGTCCTCTGCGGCCGAGATGTCCGGCGTGGAGATGTCGGAGGGCGAGCGCGGCTCTGAGAGCGAGAGCTGCTCCGGGGGCCTCGAACAGGCCATTACGGCGGAGCTCTACAAGCTGGCGATGGGGAAATCCCAGCCGGTTAGGCTCCGCCTCCTCAAGGCGGCGGCGGCCACCATTACGGAGGCGGCCTTGGAGCAACGTGCGGTGCCCACTGCGGGAAACGTGCGCTCTGAGCTGGCCGAGATGCGGCGAGAGCTGGCGCGCTTGGCGGCCTCTAACGCGGCTCTGGAGGCCGAGCTGCGGACGGCCAGGGCCGAGCTCGCCGCTGCTCGCGGCAGTCGCCCCCAGCCCCCGGCGGAGGCCGACGTAGTCGGACTGCTGCGGGCGGAGATGGCTGCCTTCCAGCGACGTTTCGACGTGCTGGAGGGTAGGCTCTTGCGGCCCCCGCTCGCGACGAGTCAGGTCGCCCCCGCGGTCCCGCGGTCGTACGCGGCCGCTGCGGCCAAGCCTTCGACCTCGGGTCAGGCTAGCCGCAGCTCCCAACCGCCGGCAAAGGCGCGACCGGCTGCCCCAGCGAGGGCCTCGGCGCCCCCGCCGGCGCAGACCCCGGCTGCGCCGACGGCGCCTGCGCCTGCGCCCGCTGGGCGCAAAGAGGAGGGGCACTCCGGCCCGGCAGGCTGGGGTTGCGGCGGCGGCGGCGGAACCCGCCCCGCAAGCAGAGGATGGCGGCGGATGGCAAATCGCCGGCGAGGCGAGGAGAGTCGCCAAGGAGGGCCGGAAGCGCCGAAAAAAGGCGCAGCGGCAACGACGGCAGCAGCAGCGCAGGGAGAAACGCGCTGCTGCCCTGCTCCTCGCCCCTAAGACCGCGGCTGTGGTCATCACCCTACAGCCTGAAGCGGTCAATAGGGGCGTCACATATGGCGACGTCCTCGCCAAATTAAAGGGGGCGGTGACTCCTGCGGAGTTCGGGGCCCCGGACGGGTTCGCGGTCAAGGTGACCGCTACCGGAGCCCGTCTTTTGGAGGTCCCCGGCGCGACCAGCGGCCCATCGGCCGACGCCCTGGCCGAGAGGCTTAGGGCGTGCCTCGGTGCGGACGAGGCCCGCGTGTCCAGGCCCACCAAATGCCTGGATGTCAGGATTTTGGGCCTGGACGACTCCGTCACGGAGAGTGAGGTGGTGGCCGCTGTGGCCAGGACGGGAGGGTGCCCTGCTGACCAGGTCAGGGTGGGCACCATACGTCCGGACAACTCGGGGCTGCGCACGGTGGTGGTGAGCTGCCCCGTCACAGCGGCCAAAACATTAAAGGAGGGCAAAAGGCTCTTAGTGGGATGGGTCTCGGCGCAGGTCAAGCTGCTCGAGACCCGGCCTCTGAGGTGCTAGCTGTCACGCGGGGGAGCACGTGAGTGTCAAATGCACCTCGGAGGTGGACCGCAGCGACTGTTGCTTCCGCTGCGGTCGGCCCGGTCACAAGGCCGGCTCGTGCAACGCCCCGCTGCACTGCAACGCATGTGCAGCGGCTGGCAAGCCGGCCAATCACCGGGTCGGGAGCAAGGGCTGCTCCCCTCCTGCTAAAAAGGGCAAAGGTAGGCCCTCCGCCGCCCTGCCGTTTCCGCCGCCGCCGCCGCCACTGCCACCGCAGTCGCCGCTGCCGCCACTGAGGAGGTCGGAATGGACTGTCAATAGTGGCTCCATTCCGCCTCTCCAGGCGAACATCAACCACTGCGCCGCTGCTCAGGATCTCCTGCTCCAGAGCATGGCGCAGTGGTCGATCAATGTCGCCGTGGTCTCCGAGCGTATTTTGTCCTGCCCAGGGATCACTGGGTGGCGGACC